TCGCTAAAGCATCTTTCATCCAGAGATCTCAAAGCACTGTACAACTGAATTCCCAAGCCCCCGCTGACAGGCAGGTAGGTATTCCATAATCAGTCTTAACACTGAACTAATTAGGTAGCCACTGTATTCATTAGGTTAAAAACAAATTAGTGGATTTGATCCCTAAGACAGTTGATATCTATCCCAAATCTGTAAAGTATTTTGTGACTTTGGCTGCAGGGTGCTACAATCTAAAAATCACTTCAAGCGCTTTGGACTTGGTTCAAAGATCTTATCATCCTTTTTTTCACTTGTTGCAAATGCTGCACTGGCGTAATTAACTTTTAACTTTCCTTTTAATTTGTCAGGCAAATAATCATTAAGGAGATTCTTTAATTAAGGAAAACCCAAGGGCAAATGACAAGAGATTCCTGATCTTGATGCTTTGTACTTTTTAATCTCCCTCCAGAGGGTGGAAAAGCTTTGTAGAGCCTTCCATTGTACTTTATACCATACACTCCTGCAACAACTTTTCAATGTCACCTTGCCTCTAGTTTCAGGAGGGTTGTTTGAAAATTAATTTGTTTGCATAGTTCTTCTTGTGTTCCACCTAATTGCAGGTGAACTTGGGAGAGGGTGGAGGGGTGTGTGTATAACACCCATGCCCCCTTCATTTACCCCCTGAATTTTCAATCTCTCCTTGCAGTAAGCAATCGAATGGCAGCTGCTATGGAGCTGAGCCTGCTCATTGTTCTGCTCCCCGAGATTCACGGGCAGATTTTACTTTAGCTTTTGTATGGTAAGGCAGAAACTATTCTTACCATATTTCTCATACCTAATGTGCACTGCGATTTCAACAGCTGGTCTTTGGTAAAAGAGGTGTGTGTTGCTTGTGAGAAAATATGGTATAGCATAGGCGACTGGTAGGTGGTGCATGTGCCCCCCCGATGCCTGACACTGATACTGTCGGTAGGGCAGGTGCTCCCCCCGACAGGGCCATTGCTGTCGGCAGCTTCTGCGGGTGCCCCCCCCCCCCGATTCAGGAGGCACCAGTCACTCATGTGGTATAGAATTCCTCAGTCTACTTTCAGTCATGTAAGATGCTTGAGTGCTATCATACCATCTGTGTTGCACTTGGATGGACCATTTGTTATTGATTAACATAATAAATGAATAAGCTAAATAGCTGTAATAAACCACATCCCACACTCCCTTGTCTAACTGTCCAGGAACTACTGTCAGACCCCAGGCACAGATTTTTCAAACTTCTACTACTTTTGTTAACACCAAAATAGCGACAAGAAGCACTTGGCACTTGATAACAGGCCCACTTTCCATGGCCTTATTCAGTGAGTAAAGATAAGTTAACCTGAAGGCAGTGGTAATTTGACCTGTCAATATTCTCTAATTTCACGTTACCAATCCTAAAATTAGTATCTTCAGTGTAAGGTGTAATAACTTAGCTTTTTAATCAATGGCAGGGCACCTGGGGGACTCTTGACACTTTATAATTATGATGAAATGTCTCCACCCTTCTCCTCTGTTTCACAGCAACAGAGCAACTTAATTTCAAACATAAGCCCTGGCTACAAAGGCCCTTTTCTCCACCACAAGAACGCTGCTTTGACACACCAGGGATGGTCTGAGAGAGAAGCTGCACTGGCAGCTCTACAGGGCACTGCATTAGAAAGGATGCCCATCTGGGACTGGCAACGAAGAGAAAATGACTAGCATATTAGTCCTTTTCCTCATGCACTTTTCTTTGTAGAGACTGCAGAAGGAAATTGATTAGGATTAGTCAGCATCTACAACGGGGCGGGCAATTATTTCGGGTGGAGGGCCGCTTACTGAGTTTTGGCAAGCCATCAAGGGCTGCATGACAGGCAGCCAGGGGCAGATAAAAAGTAATTTTCTAAATTTTTTAGGGGCCCCGCGGGCCGGATAGAATGGCCTGGTGGGCTGCATCCAGTCCGTGGGCTGCATTTTGCCCACCCCTGATCTATCAGCTTCTCACTCCTTTTAAAACTTACCTGGATAGAAAGGGAAACTGATTCATTTTGTAACAACTTAATTGGTTTCCCTCTACAACCAGTTCTTGATAAAGCATTTGATACTGAAAGGAACTGGTTAGGGCTTTTACACATGAAACCGACTGCAGAGGGAGCCGAACAGCATCTTATGTATGGTTTTCTACCTGTATGTAGCATTCTGCCCCTGCAGCATGGGTGACGGGTAATAGAGAATGGATAGGATAGAGACAAATATGAAAAGGAAATAAATGTGAGGAAAGAGAGACAACAGAAAAACAAAAGCGCTGCTTGACCTGGTACTGGCTACTGGGGATGACCTAATCGGCGACCTAGTGATCGATGGGAAGCTGGGTGACAGCGACCACGAGCTGATCACTTTCACCATCCGCCGTAAAGCTGGCAAGTCTGTCAGCAACATGGAAGTCCTTGATTTCAGGAAAGCTGACTTTGACAAGCTCAGGAGGCTTGTCGGTGAGGCCCTAAGAGACCACGACCCCAGAGAGAGTGGAGTTCAAGAAGAGTGGTTGCTCCTCAAGGGAGTGATCCTCAATGCACAAGCTAAGGCTATTCCATCTTGGAGGAAAGGCAGCAAGAGGGCACAGCAGCCCCCCTGGCTCTCCAGGGATCTAGCAGACCTCCTGGGACTAAAAAGAAAGGCCTACAAAGGATGGAGGACGGGATTCACCTCCCAGGAGGATTATTCTGCACTGGTCCGGTCCTGCAGGGAGCAAACCAGGAAAGCCAAGGTTGCAACTGAACTCCAACTAGCTTCGAGCATCAAGGACAATAAAACGTCCCTTTTCACATATGTGGGGAGCCAGAGGAAAAGCTAAGGGCAACCTTGGACCCCTGCTGAACCAGATGGGGCAACTGAAAACTGAGGCCCAGGAAAAAGCCAACCTATTAAATGGGTACTTTGGGTCGGTCTTTCATCAGTCCCATGGGATGCCCATGCCCGCTATGGGACAGGGAGGTCCCGGTGAGGGAGATCCCCTGCCCTCCATTAATGCTGACCTCGTAAATGAACACCTTGAGAAGCTGGATACCTTCAGGTCAGCTGGTCCTAACAATCTACACCCCAAGGTACTCAAGGAGCTG